TTTTTTAGGCTGACCGTACTAAAGAAATTATTCATACATTTTATGCAAATAATACGGACTGTGAAATACAAAGAGAGGTTTTAATAATATATTACGAAATATTTGTGAAGATTAATTGAATTAATATTAATTATATTTTTTTTGTTCATACACAGGTGGAAATATTTTCATTGCAAATGATGCAATGCCGTACAGCATTTACCGCATTCGGTTTTTATAATCTTGATTGCAAACGAATTGGATCGGTTGGTAGATTGGATTTTTATTTTGTTTTGTTTTGTTTTGTTTCAATCACGAAAAGAAAAATACAAAATTTAATATAATTATTTAATTGTTTTAGTGCATCGGCGTTATAACGACATATTTGGTTATATTGATACAAGTATCTGATTCAATAAGAAAAGAATCATAAATCATTATAATACTTTTTAGTCCTATAAATTGTATAAATAGTATAATATATAATTATTATACAATTTGCCGCGAGATTGTTAATGATTTATTTGATAAAATAAAAAAAGATTCAAGGAAAATACATTCTTCTTTTTTTTTTTTTTATACAAATTTTCCAGATACGGAATAGTTTATTACTAATACGTTTGTTTCGTTGATTAATTTTATTTTATAATCACATCTAATGATAAATGATATATTTAATAATTAAAAGTATTTGATTTCTTATATATAATATAATTTGTACGTGACAATTATTCAAAACAATAATCAATTTTTTAAACCAACATTACATTATTTTACACTTAATATCTATTTTATATATTTTACATATATAGAAAATAATGAAATAAAGTATTGAACTCACTCAATCAACGTGATTATGTGAATGAATGTTCATTTCAACAGAAATGTTTTATAAATTAGGTCAAATGGTAAGGATTATTAATAACATGTCAACTAAGCAGAACGTATATTATTGACTCGATAAGTTATACAGCGCAGGCGTTCGAGAAAATTTATTCGCATAACCTTTGCACCCTTCGAAGACATCTCATCGTATATAAACAGTTCGTGTTTAATCAAATTAAAAAAAAAAAAAAGGAAAGAAAAATTATATATTAGTAAGTTATTGGATTAAAAAAAGAAAAAGAAACAAATTGCACAATGAAAAGTTTAATAGAAATATTAATAAAAAGAAATAAAGTTCATGGTATATTTAAAAATGGTAAAACACGATCTAAAACATTGTACGATGTTTTACGACCGATCAATTTATTAAGTATTATATTTGGATTACGAATATTCGAAATGCCACGAAATCATTCTAGACGGATACTCAGTTTGATTTATTCTATATCATTGTTGGCCTTTAATTATGGGATTTGGCGTTATCTCAGTCAAAATTCTAAACACTCTGGTGTATTCAAATTCGACGAGACTGTAGATTATTTGATATATTATACAAATTTCATCGTCTTGTTTACTATTGCTATGAAAGGATTACAACAGACCGAGGTAAGTTTGACAAATTATGATAATAATTAATGTAATATATACGTAATATATTATAATTTTTTGTATAATGTTATATCATATTAATCGATAGTTATTTATTCTTTTTTTTTCAAACAAATCCCATGCAGTCATTAAAATTATGCGTAAAAAAGATGCACGAGATCGACAAAACACTGGAGACTTTAGGCTCATCATTGTCTTTCAATAAAATTTATAAAAAAACTATGATGGAATTATTATTGTTTCTATCATTTGTTACATTTCTATTCGTGATAACTGGGATACAGTTGGTTTCGCTTTATACAACATACATATTACTGTTACCGGTAGTTTATTTAAATATAATACATTATGGGTATACTTTCATGGTCGAATTTTTGTTAGTTTTTGAATTCTGTACGATGGTAAGGTACGTAAATAATTTTAAATATATGTATATATATCTATCAATTCGTAATATATTTATATGTATAATATTATAGGTGCATTAAATCGGAATTTCAAAGAGCAAATGATCTCCTAAGTGACGTAAATATTTTACCAATGACTTCTATCGCATCTGAATTAATTGAAAGATCATTTCTCGTTGATTCCAACAAATTATTTGACCTTTCATCGTCATTCCATAAGATGCATTCAAGATTGCAAGTTGCGAGTCACAAATTAAATAGAAGTAAAAAATTGTTACGTACAATCAGGTTGATAATATATTTTATTACTTAATATAATTATTTAGTATTCGTGTTGTAATAATATGTTTTATTGTTTCGTTTTTTATTTTTTTTTTAGACAGGTTCATTTAGAATTATACAGAATATCGAAAAGTTTTGGTAATATGTACGGTATACAAATGTCATTGGAAATAGCAGTATGTATTATATGTAATACTCATTTATTATATCACCTTTATGATATTTTTTTGAATCAAAAACTTAGCAACAGTGGGAAAAATTTTGCTTTATTTACCACGATTACGGCTTGTTTGCAATATACGATTAGAATTTTTGCAGTTAATTATATATGCGACAGAACAACGGACGAGGTATGATACAATATATATATATATATATTTATTAGTTGTTACTTTTATTTCATAATTATCGTGATTATTTTTTTTTAGGCCGAACGTACCAACGAAATTATTCACACTTTTTACGGAAAGAATACGGATCCTGCGATACGAAAAGAGGTTAGTCAATATTATTATTGAATATTTTGCAACATTCATTTTTATTCTTTAATTATTATATTTTATTATTTTAAAATTAATATATTATTATATTTCAATTATATATATTTTATTTGTTTTTTACAGGTTGAAATATTTTCTATACAATTGATGCAATGCCATACCTCGTATTCGGCGTTCGGTTTATATAATTTTGGTTGCAAACATATTTGTTCGGTTAGTACAATTTTAATGTTAAATTGCATATCAAAAAATGATATATTATTATTAGAATAAAACATTTACAAATGTTTCTATTCTTCAGTGTATCGGTGTAATCGCGACGTATGTGGTTATCATGGTACAAGTAGGTAATTCGTTAAAATAAGGATAATAAATCACCATGATACTTTTCAATCCTGTAAATTATATATATATATAATTTACAGGATTGAAAAGTATCATGGTGATTTATTATCCTTATTTTAACGAATTACCTACTTGTACCATGATAACCACATA